TGTTTACAACTTACCTTAAATCGCCTCGGGTAAAAACGGATAAACTTTGTTCTTAATATCCTCCTACTTTTGTTCTCTAACAGATGTCTGCTGTACGTACGCTGCAGCTCCTCAAGCATTGAACAAAATAAAACAAGTAAAAGCATTTTTTTTTTTCAAATTACTTTCCAAATTTATAAATAATTTTCCTTCATTTAAGTAGTGTGAGAGCGCAACGATGCTCTAAATGTGTTGGCATAGCAACGTGATACTTCCCGTTTCCTTTTCCGCCTGTCCTACGAAGGCCGTCTCGTTTAATTCTTGGTTGAGGACACTTCGTATATGCATCCTACAGAGGATGCGACCTCCAGAGGATTCGACCTCCGGAGGGCGCAACCTTCTAAATGAGACACAGCATCTGTGTAGTTAATGCTGCTCAACGTGAAAGCACGCACGTGATGGAGATTTACCGCTGATTACAGAACCGGCTTTCTGACGAGATGCGCGTTAAATATCGCATGCGATTTATCGTGCAGCCCTAATATTTATTATATAATACATACATAATATTATAAGCAATATATAAAATAGTTATAATATCATGCCACATATCACATACACATGGATAATTATTTATTATTTATATACTATACACACAAATACACACACACTCATTCTCTTGTAAATTACCAGGTTTTGCTGTAAATAAAATCCAGAATCTGAAATTCTCTCTGTCCTATGACTCCTATCCAATCAAAATGTGTTCGCTCTCACCCTAAAGAGGATAAAGTGATGAGGTAACATGTAGCACAGAACTGACCTTCCCATCGTGGGTCCTTATTTCTGGGGTACACTGTGTAATGTGTGGTAATTCGTGGCACAGTGGAGGAGGAACTCCGTGTGGAGTACACCTGAGGAGCGACATGCTCCGTTTGAACTGCCTTCAGTGCACCTACACACCTCCGTGCTGCAAAAACACAAATAAAAGGCAAAACAATTAGGTCACAGACAAGACCATTCTCATACAGTTAAATACAAACTTCATATCGGATTAACAAACAGTTTAGTATAACAAACACACATAGTGTATACATAGTGTCTATTGCGCATGTAAGTATATCAATAAAGTTAATCTAAACTAAATGGATCAACTTATATAACAGGATAAGATGTTACAAAATCCTCCAGGCCAACTGAGGTCTTATCTAAAAGAATCAGTAATTGTTTGCTTACAAAAATCAGTTCCATGTTTATATTTAATGCAGAAACGCGTTCTTAAAGTGTTCATTTCTCAGACACAAGGACATTCTTACCGATATGCGAGTGACCTTTACCCTACTTTCCCTGTGACTGAACAGCTGCAGGATTCTGTGAGCTAGCTAGACGGATAAACCTACAGTTAAACACATGATTCTTGCCATGTCCCGTGTAAACATGGTTAATAACAACTTAATAGGACAGTATATATGCTCTCAGGTTTGTAGAATCAAAGGTTTATAACGTTTGGTTAGCGTTCTGGCTACACGTCAGTGAAAGTGTGACAGTACCTTGGAGGGAATATCTACAGGCTGGAAACATCTATGAGCTGAATGTGCGGCCGTGACTCTGGTCAAGTGCTTCCCGTGGTTTTCCAGGTTGAGTGTGGACAAACAAATACCACTCCGGTTTACTCTGTTACAAAAGTGTCATAACAAACTCAGCGCGTCTGTTGCGCAGCTCAGAATGACGTCACAAAACCGCGCCGGAATAAAAAAAAAAACCGTGCGAATGACTGCTGATCATAAACTCATATGGATAAGAGTTATTCGGTGTTCATGATGGCGAAGTGTATCTGTCAATTAATTTAGCTGTCAGGAAAACATTTACTTTCGGCTGTAGGGGACGCTCTGCAATCTGGGATACACAAACAGGCAATTACTAAAATAAATGTAAGAATAATAATAGTAAAATAATAGTGATGATGATAAACATTTACATTTATGCAAAGTGACTTACAAAAGAGGAGTGAAGAAATGTGTGAAAGAGCCTGAAACTGTTTTTTTTTTTTAAAGAAGAGGAGAAATGCAGAATTTATTTATTTTTTGATTGATTGATTGATTGAGAGTGAGTGTGTAGGTGTATTGGTTAATAGTGTGGGGTGATTTTGTACTTGTGGAAAAGGTCTCAGCAGTTCAGGTGGAGGTTGGCAGCTCATTCCACCAGAGAGGAACAGAGGGTGATGGTTTTGGAGAATTACTTTTTCATGTCATGTGTTATATCTTTCAAAAATAAACCAAATAACACATTTTTCCCTTTGTTAAAACAGGTGAATCTTCAAATTTAGGAAAAAGCCAATAATGCAAATCTTCACAAAAGGTACAGGCAAATTTACAATCATAAAAAAGATGGTCTGTAGTTTCAATTTGATCCACACAAAAGGAACAGTTGTTAACATCAAGACCAAATCGACACCTTAAAAATTCTCTAGAAGGATATATTCCATTAAGAATTTTAAAGTGGACTTCCTTTGCTTTTGGTGCAACTGGAAAGTTAGATTTTTGTTCTTTAAATTTTATCTTCATATTAAAAGATTAAATTTTTATTTGAAGAAAAAGGATACAAATCCTTTACAAAGACTTTCCGGATTACAATATTGGGTAACGTTAGGTTAGCAAGAGAAACTCCATTCACCAAAAGCTGAGGAAGACAAGGTGTAGTGCTGTCAAACGATTAAATATAAGTAATAAAAGTTTCATAATAGTTGTGGGTGTACTGTATTTATAAATACACACACATACAGCATATATTTTGAAAATATATGTATATATTTGTATTCATATAATTTATATTATATATAAATGTAACATATTTTTCTTATATACATGTGTGTGTGTTTGTATATACATACACAGTACACGCACATATACTATTCAGATGATATTAATCACAATTAATCATTTGACAGCACTAACAAGGTGTAACATTATTTTGAGATAAGTTACAAGACATCTGAATTATAGATTGTGGGATAGCTTTGATGATGTTATCATACTATTTTCTGTCCTATTCTAATTCTATTCTTTAAAAAAAAAAAAAAACTTGCCCCTTTTAGACTTGCACGCTATTCATTTACTAACTGCTTGTTTTATTAAAAAAATTTAATAAATAACACTAGCTTCTCTATTCTTTTTGTATTCTATCTATTTGTATAAATGTAACATATTTTTCTTATATACATGTGTGTGTGTTTGTATATACATACACAGTACACGCACATATACTATTCAGATGATATTAATCACAATTAATCATTTGACAGCACTAACAAGGTGTAACATTATTTTGAGATAAGTTACAAGACATCTGAATTATAGATTGTGGGATAGCTTTGATGATGTTATCATACTATTTTCTGTCAAATAAATTAATTTTGGAACAAAAAGATTCAAAAGACATAACTCCGGTATTATCTAATATTTTCATCACAGACCATATTACTTTCTCCAAAACTTTAAACAACGAAGAAGCCAATTTTGGGGACCAGACCACTGCATATTTGTTTTTGTATCGTGACTTTGTTTTCATGCAAATTATTGGCAGCAAGATTAATCTTTAATGAGCCGAAAAGAACGCACGTCACACCTCTGTTTATCTAATCTTTTTGTATTCTATCTATTTGTTTTCTTTTTATTTATTATAGGCTACAATTAACAAAAGCAAAAAAGGCCTCTAACACTAGCTTGCTCTATTTTTATTTATTATTTATTTATATTATTTTATATTATTTATTAAAAATTTATTATTATATGATTTTTTTTTAAAAACCTTGCTACGTGTACTGCGTTAAGCTAACTGAGACTTGTTATAGCACTTGTATATCATTGCTCTTTTGTTGATTTTGATTGCTTCCATTGTCCTCATTTGTAAGTCGCTTTGGATAAAAGCATCTGCTAAATGACTAAATGTAAATGTAATGTAAAATTAAGCAGTTAATAATATACACTGGCTGGAATAGTTAAGATTTGTTTAAGTTTCTGAAAGAATGTTCTTGACAGATTTCATAAGATTCACCCATAATTATGGCAAGTTGTCAGTCAGTGAAGCTCTGTTTCCACTTTATTTAATGTGCAATAGGGTCACCTAATTTGTCTGCCTGTCTCCATGCCGACACAGGCTTCATACATGGTCAAGACATTTCCAGTCCAGGTCAGTCACAGTGTGTGAGTCTGACTGACCTATTTATAGGCATATTCTCTGTTTAGGGTCCAGTTTTTTCTCTCTCTGTTTTAGTGTGCATCTGGTTTGATCTGGCTTGCATTTTCAGTCAGACATGTTTGGGTCTGCCAAACCAGGCCTGTGTCTGAGATGACTTTCTGGACTTAGGGCTTTGCAATGAACCGTAGCTATTTTTTAAGTGTTTGTGAAATTGACTCTTATATTTTTTGCAACAGTCTGTGTTTAGCGTAATTGCTCACTTTACTCTTTTCCACATCATATAAGAAAATTAAATTCTACATGGTGATAAAACATGATAACCCCTATCATCACAGCATGTATCAGTCCCACAAATAATTAGGGAAAAGTTAAGAAAAATGATTAATACGGGCTGCTTATGGGGCATTTGTGAGTTTTAATTACTAGAAACAAAACATTGATGATCAGTGAATAGCACAGAATGCATGTAGGAGAAATATATTTATGTATTGAAAATAGAGATATCGCCATATGCATAAGAGCGATTCACATACTTATAACGTCATATGTCTTCACACCTATAGCACAGAACATTCTCCCACATGTGAATCATTTGGGAGCTTCACCTAAATTTAGTCACACAGGTGTGTTTGGTGTGAAGCAATATATCAACAACCTTCTGAAATAGTGAGCTGTGAAAGCATTGCACTCAAACATTGAAATAACAAAAAAAATATTTTTGAAAAATTAGTTGTTTTATTTTTTTTTCTTTACATTCATAAACTAAAAGGTAATCTCTGAAAATGTCATGTCACAAAAACAGAATTTTCTTGAGGGAAACATGAAAATATTCTCTTCTTTCGGTGAGTTGACCGTGCCAGAAAACATTTTTTTTTATGATCACAGTTGTAAATGATATCCTTCCACATGTACGAGAGGAGCACTGTGAAAGTGTCACTAATAGTGTTTTATTAATAATTAGTTGACAGCTCTTTATAAATGGGTCCCTAAAGTGGAGTCAACCAACATAAAAGCCTTGCATGCTCAGAGGTCGCTATATCAATTAAGTGGTCTTTGTATCTGGGCGAATCTCACAAAAACACGTCAGGTCATATTTCACCCCAAAATAAAAAGTAATATATTCTGATATAATATTGCAAAAAGATAAGCATACAGTACCAGTCAAAAGTTTTTGAACAGTAAGATTTTTAATGCTTTTTAAAGAATTCTCTTCTGCTCATCAAGCCTGCATTTAATTGATCCAAAATACAGCAAAAGCAGTAATACTGTGAAATATTTTTACTATTTAAAAGAACTGCTTTCTGTTTGAATATATATTTAAAATGTTACTTATTCCTGTGATCAAAGCTAAGTTTTAAGCATTATTACTCCAGTCTTCAGTGTCACATGATCCTTCAGAAATCTTTCTAATATGCTGATTTGCTGTGAAACACTTTTTTTTTTTTCATCAGCATCAGTATTTAAAACAGTCGAGTAAATTTTTTTTCAGGATTCTTTGATAAATACAAAGATCAGCATTTATCTGAAATAAAAAAGCTTTTGTTAACATTAACACTATACTATTCAAAAGCTTGGAGTCAGTATATTTTATTTTATTTATTTATTGATGATAAAGACATTTATAATGTTACAAAAGATTTCTATTTCAGATAAATGCTGTTCTTCTCAACTTTCTATTCAACAAAGACATCTGAAAAAAAATCTACTGAGCTGTTTTCAACATAATAATAATAGGCTAAATGTTTTTTGAGCAGCAAATCAGAATATTATTGGAAAAATTCATAAAAATCCAGCTTTGAAATCACAGGAATAAGTTACATTTGAAAATATATTCAAATAGATAACAGTTATAAAATAGTACAAATATTTCAAAATGTTACTGTTTTTGCTGTACTTTGGATCAAATAAATGCAAGCTTGGTGAGCAGAACAGACTTCTTTAAAAAACATTAAAAATCTTACTGTTCAAAAACATTTTAATGGTAGTGTATTTTAAGACCATAAACAGACGACCTTTTTTAATCATTGTAGCATTGTTTGCATGACAATAAAGCAATGTTTTTCTAAATTATGGTTAATATAACACAAACTTTAAACTTTATATTTTTTTTATAATTTATTAAATAATGTATTATCATTTTGTTTATATAATTCTCATTCAAAGGTGATACTTGTTAATATCTCATTACTTTGATACTGTATAAATCTGCACAATTAAATGTATTAATTACTATCATGATATACTGTATACTTTACTATTTCAATTACATTTTATTCCAAATTACAGTGCTGTGAAGTGCATTATAGTGATTAAAACTGTGGTAGAAAATGTCAAAAATAACAGTGCAAACATTTTTTAAGGTCATAAATATGGTTTAATTTTCATGAAATTAAATTTTATGAAATATATATATATATATATTTTTTTTTTCATGAAAATTAAACCATATTTATGACCTTTAAAAAGTTTTAGATGTATTCTTCTTCTTTTTTTTTTTTTTGGAGGGTTATAGACTGAATATGCTCGTGCTCTGACATGTACAAGATTCA